GGGGGAGGCTTACTTCTCCTTGCCCGGTGGGGGGGAGGGGGGGGGGTGGCGGATGCATTTAGACTGGAGTTGGGGGGGGCTTGAACTAAACTTGGGGGACTGAAGCCCCCCCCAGCCCGCCCTCCCTAAGCCACTCGTCCTCACTCTGACTCCCACCCCCTCCAGTCCGACAAATTTTGTAGCTAATCCGTCTCATAGAAACTTCCTAAATGCAACTTTATCTGAAAATAACTGTCAGTTCTCGAGTTGGAAATTTATTTCCAGATCGTCAGACCTCGGAATGTTATTTTTGTGGGACCTTCTTCCAACATACTATTTGAACACCCCTGCTTTTATCATTTCCTTTGGTAGATTTGTGCTGCGAAAGAAGCACATGACAGAAATCTAAAAAAAAAAAAAAAATTTTTTGAAGTTCCAAGATGACATGCCGTTAATGGCTGCCGCAACTCGCCGTCATGCGATGCAAACATTTTATTTCCCGGAAGTATGGAACCAGCAAGAACAGCATTAGGATAGAAGGCCTTTGAAGGCCATCAATATGAAGTTGAACAAAAAAAAAAACGTATGGAATGCACTCGGGAACTTTCCGTAAAGTTCCGTTCATAACATCGTTCAAGGCATCGATAGGAACCCAATATCAAATTCAATTTGAAGTAGAGAGATCATATTTTTATCGTCATGCGCCTCACATGATTCCCATTATCTAAAAAATTATCTCCATGCATTCAAGTCCCGGTTGCTCAAACGTTCCATTTGCTATGTCAAGCTATTTCATGATAAATTTGTGTTTCGTGTCTTTTTGAATCATTATTGATTCAAAAATTGCTACAAATGAAAATACTTAACTCTGGGAAAGTTTTTTTTTCTTCCTAATGTATTTTAGGAATATTCTTTCTTCCCAGAGGCTTATTTTCAGTCCAATGATTATCCCCTGCAAAACGAAGAAGTGCTTTTTTGGCTTACCTTATAGATTAAACTTCTTTTGTCCAACAATGTACAGTCGGAAACATGCCTTCTACGGTTCTTTGCATTTACAACATGAATACAACCTAATATTATTAACATAAATGAAACTCAACCTGACGAGGAAATTCCCCGTGACAGGATGAGACTGGTAATGGGATTCTCGCACGGATTACACATTCCAGTCATGTTGCAAAGCCGAGTTCTGGGAAGGGGGGAACTTCTCCCACTTTCCATCCACCTTATTTTTTTATTTTCTTACTCCTATTTTCCTCTTGTAGACGGACAGAGCAGAATGGCATCGATGAAAGTAAATGTATGTAGAGAACGCTTCATTCTCTTTCCTTACCCTCTCGCAGTTCGAGGGGGAAGGAAGTGAAGGGGACACATGAAAGATACAGGGTGGAAGTACAGTGCCGGCAACAACAAAAAAACTTGAAACACCTAGGACGAGCGATTCTATAGCCGCCAAACTTTGGTCATTTATTGGAGACATCGATGCATGCAAGTGATCATTCACTCTCTGATATCTGGCATCTCGGTAGCGCGATACCATCATGTGACGACCACGCGATATGGAAGGGTATAAAACCTCTGGGAGCGTCGATAGGCAGTTTGTATCATGGCCAGAGGAAGCCATTCAGGGTATATCTGTGATGAGGTCACATGATTTTATAACGCCACCGGGACGCGACGTATCGGAGAGTGATTCATCATTTTTATACCTCGATGTCTCTAATAAATGGAAAAAGTTTGGTCGCTGTAGCATCGCTAGGTCTATGTGTTTCTGTATTTCTTTGCCGGCAGTGTATACTACTATGTTCAAACAGCTTCGAGACTCTGGTCACCATGACCGAACGCCGTGTTGCATACCAAAATAAATTTTGGTGAGCGTAGTTAAGGTTCCACACTACTTGCATATCAAGGGCACATGTGCTTAACCTCACGTGGTAATGACTGGGTTGCGCCACTTGAAACTCGTCAGCTGTCAGTCGGCGGTCTGCATTCACCTTGTGAAGATGTCACGTTTCGAGAAGCGTGCTAATGTGAAATTTTTCCAGAGAATGTGTAAAACGACTGGTGAGACCTTTGGTACACTGAGACAGGCGTATGGGGACAAGACAATCTCACGTCCTCGAGTGTTTGAATGGCATTGGCGATTCCAAGAAGGCCGTGAGTCCCTGGAAGGTGATGTTGGAGGCGTTCTTCGACCACGAGGGTATTGTCCATCATGAGTTTATTCCAGAGGGAAGAACGGCGAATAAAAAGATGTACGTAGATGTGCTGCGGCGTCTCCGAGAAGCAATCGGTAGAAAAAGACCACCAATGTGAGCACACAAGAATTGGATCCACCTTCACGACAACACACCAGAGCAGAGATCGCTCATGGTCAGCTCATGGTCACACTGGCACCGTCTTACTACCACATCCCCCCTACTCCCCGGACCTTTCACCACACGACTTTTACCTTTTTCCAAGACTAAAGAAGCGGCTGAAGGGACGCCGTTTCTCCTCCACAGAAGAGGTGAAGGAAACTACGGTGGCGGCACTGAACGGGGTCGCCAAAAAATGGGTTCCAGTTCTGTAGCGAAGAACTTCATAGACATAGGCAAAAGTGTACAGAAAGCCAGGGCCACTACCTTGAAGGTGACTGCAACAGTGCCGTAACGCTCGCCGTTCGCGTGCAATAAACCCAGTCTCGAAACTTTTTGAACCTACCTTGTATTTGCTCAACATAGGGAATATCCAACCTCCCGCCAGTGGAATCAGGTGGAGGAGACAAAGCTCACCAGACTGTATAGCTTTAAAGCTATACAGTCTGGTGAGCTTTACTTGATACTTTTGATTACGCCACGAAGTTAAAAGTATCGCACGATCGAGCCTCAATTAGTTGCCCTGGGGCGCTGGAATCACCTCAGACATGATCCACGGACGATCGGGTGGATGCCCTTTAGGTTGCGTTTAAATTGCGAAAATCCTCCATATGGAAGAAGGGGACAAGTGTACTTGCCTCTTTTTTCCTTAGAGCGCGAGCATCAGTATTGGAGGACTGTGTCTATATGATAACGAGTTAACCGGAGTAGAACCGGAGGAGAATAGATACGATAGACGAAAATAAAGATCCTGATCAAAGATTGCCTTTTGGCTTGTACAATAAATGTCGATGCATTTTCGTCGATATCCCAAAAAAAAAACGATGTTTCCATTTGTCCCCTTTTCTCACGGAGTTGACAGATTCCAAGATATCTAAAATGGTTCCACTATTCACGGGGTTCATTCAAGTGATGAATGCAAAGCTGCTCCAAATCAACCTGAGAAGGGAGAGCCCGAGCAACTGTGGACGATGAGACTGGGGACTTTCAGCTCGAGAACAAAAAACTCGTCAGGTGTTATCTAAAACGAGGATCTTCCCCGTCGAGCGATCGACCTCCGGAGCGGAGAGGAGGCTCAAAATGACTGCATAGCCTCAAAAGGGCGTTGCTTTCCATGCGCGTTGTACGGACGGGAATGCGTGCCATCGATCCTCGACATTTCCTCCGCCAAATTCCGGAGCTTCAAGCGCTTCCTCGGTTTCTGGAATCGTGTAATAATGAAGGATCGCACTCATTCGAAATTTGGATCATAAACTCTTCCTATCGTCCCAAAAATCAATACAAACAGACTCCACGGAGTAACTCTCGAGCTTTTGCTGTTTTTCCCAGACCGATGGAGACGACCCGAGGGAAACCAACCGAGTTTGTCGTTATTGAATCACGAACTTCTGTGCGGTATACAGGTGGGGGTCTCCAGAGGACAACGAAGAGATTGAAATCCATTTCGTAAAACCTAAATGATGATCTTGCCTTCCGACATCGACATCTGGAATACCGTGAATAATCATTTATCATTCTCCCTTCATGAGGGACACCTCGGATCTTCCGCAGGATTATGTATGAATGGATTCATAGCTCGTAGGTAATTGAAGGAAAAAGTTCCGTTCCCTCATGAATATGAATGTCAAGCACGCATTTGCGAACTATGCATGAGCAAATAGATTCCTCCTCGCGCTCTCCCATTTTCTGTCGAACATCTCGAGGCGGAAACGAAGGATACGAGCCGATTCCCAGCAGACTCGGAACATTGCTGTGTATTCCTCGGGAACAAGGAAATCGCGGAAATCTGAGAGCGAAGCGTTGCCTCCTACGCGAAAAAAAGGCTCATTCTCCTTTCCGGCTGTGATTTCGCCAATTACATGCGTCTTCTGGGAAGACTCTGTTCTGCTGAGGCAAGGGGCGAATACAGATCTCATGCGGAAGGGGATAACGAAAGGGTTTCAACGCAATCCTCGTTCCCATCTCGATCCGCCGCATGATGGGAATGAAAGAATAAGCACGGAATCTCGTGAAAGCTTTGCGATCCTCATGAATGCCATCATTCGACCTTGCACCGAATCGGCTTAGAGGAATTTAGATTCAGGCCTTGCACCGGCTCCCACTTCATCCTGAGATTTTCATTCTAATGCGGAAGCGAAAACCCTCTACATGTTTTTTTAAATTAATATTTATCGTCTCCCTGCTGTGAAACTTGAGCACTTTCCGGTGTGCATTGCGGCATCACTCATGCCAATTGCGCAGTATGCAATTGACTATTTCGATTGGCTTGATTAGTATTTAAAAAAAAAGGATGCACTCTTTCTACTTTTTTTAAGCGTCAACCAACAAAAATGATCAATTATAGTTTCATCGTCTGGTCCTATTTTAGATCATGTTTGGCACCTTAAACTCGTAGAAGGTATGTGCTTCTAAGCATAACCGTGCATTTTCCATCGTAGAGGAAAAGGTAATTTGCTTAAAGGTAAAGGTGATTTGGAAACGTCGATCAAGGTGTAAATATTTTGTGACTCTGGAGGTCTTCACAAATTGATTCCCCAGTTGCCATGCATGACGCCGAAGCCTCGTAGATATTCAGCGCATGGGCGCGGATACCTTCGACTCAAGTCCATTACACAGATTGCTTGCAATATCGAAGCGAGCTTTTCTCCGTTGGGGGAGTAAATCGAGAAATATCAATGAGATCAGCTCTCAAATGTGATGTAAAGAGATGCGATCCGCCTACTTTAGGGGAGAGAACGAACGCGAGCAGAGATGAGCCATTCCTCCTCGGGCAAAAAACGCCTGGACTGTGTGCACAGTCGATTAATCATGCTGGCGAAGCGGAAGTAAGAGGCTTCATTTATTTCTCTAGTCAGTCACTCTGGACCTCATAGGCCTCAGTCGTCCTACTTCGCTGCTGCTAATGGAAGAAGGACGTGGATGAAACCTGTCTCCCCGAAGTCAAGAGCAGAAAAATTGATTTCACGCTTTCCCAGGCTCACCGAAGACGGTGACGAAGAAGATGATGGAATAAATGACGATCATGCTGATGCGAACAGCCTGGGAGTCCAGGAGAGTCGGTTCCAAGCCCGTGTAAGATCCGTTGTCCAGAAAGGAGACGTTCAACGCGTGCCACTTGGCCTCTCGAGTCGCATTCACGCCGGTCACCTCGTCCATCGACGATCCCATGCTTGCCTGTGGAAATTAAACTCGTTGAATACGACAAAAAAATGTTAAAGCATTTAATTTCGTGATGAGGCCTACAATAAACGGGCGTCGTGTACAGTCGGTGGATTAGAAATTTTCTCGCGCGTATATAATTTGGCTTTCATACGAATTAAAATTAATCTAAAAAATAAATACTTTACGCTTACTTCGCTTGTTGAGCCCAGAAAATACACTGACCCAAGAAAATACACTGACCGAACTTCTTGAGCATTAAAAATGCTCAAGAAGTTCGGTCAACCAATTAATGCATTCGACGGGAACTTTGGCGCCTCGGTATTTCATCATCAGTTGCTGAAAACTGGTCGTCTTATTTCTGCCCTCTGCCCTTCGAGACAAAATGTCTCGAAGGGCAGAGATGTGGACTCTGGGTCAACTCTAATTCCTGGAAAATGACTTGTGTGCACACAAAGCCTTCCGAATGAATTTATTTCCTGACGATTCTGCTCTACTCTGCCAGTTTGTTCTAACGCCCTGACCTGAGTTGCTGTATACATATGATTCATACATACATACTTATGATTAATTGGCGCCTCACAATTCTTTGACACCTTTGTTTGGGTCTATATTTGTCAAATTTGTAGTTACAGGGATCTTCAACAATTTTTTTCCCACACTGACGAAGTGTGTGACGAAGCTACGAAGTGTCCCACCAGAATCCCCAAATTTGCATGTACTAACGTTGTTATCCCAGAGTTGCCTTGTGTGTCTGTATTCATAACTTGGTGCGAGGAGGAGAAAATGATTCAAATGACGTTCGAGTTTCTTTCCTTCTCGAGACTTGGGCGTCAGCAGAGACGAAGCCGCCGTTTTTTCCTTCGTGTAAAGCATTAGTCAGGTTTGTCTTAAGCCCCGTCCACACCGGAAAGTTTTCTCTCAGACCTTTTTTTTTTTTTAGCAAGACCAGGTACAAAAGAGAAACTCTGGGTCTTTTAAAAGTTTCATTCGAATTTTTTTTTTTTCGTTCAGTCATCCTTGCAGGAGACTTTCCTGATATTTCCTGATTATGATCCACAATCTACTTCCTTTGTATGGAAGGATGAAAGAATTTGGCGTTGAGAATGGATTCGGGCCGTGAGGAGCATGCGGATTTGCGATTAGATCGAGAAAAAAAAACCGTTTCGAATAGGACAAGTGCAAGAAGTGCAAGAGGCTAAGTACAAGGGCAAAAAAGAGATGTTGGAGAGAGAATCTCAACAAACACTTCACGCGAACCATGATAAGAATGGACCTTGGATTGCATCTGAGGGGAAAAAGACCGGCTCGTAGAGGCAAATGGGAAGGGAGAGAGAGAGAGAGAGAGAGGAAGAGTGAGGGAGAGAGAAAGAGTCTGCCCTTCTCCATCAATTGGAGACTGAAATTCTCTCGAGCGTGCGCGGGCAGTTTCAACTAAATGTGACAGGTTCTTTGGCTCCGTCTGGCATTCCATTACCAGTCGGAGCTCGCACGCGATTCATAGTGTTGATAAGGTCCCATTTAGGGTTCCATTTTGAATGTTTCTTTCTCAGATATCGTCCGCAACGGCCAGTTCTCTTGCAAAGACAAGAAACGTATATTCTGTAAATTGTAGAGAAAAATGTATGGCTAAAATTGTCAAATGTCTTTTCCGAAGAATTGCCTGCACGAACATTCTTGGAAGTGCCCCCTCCCTTCTCCCCCCATAAAAAAGGAAGAACGAATAGATTAGATGTATGAGGCAGACCCATAATAGCAGTGCCCTAGTGCTCCGCAGACCTCCCTCTTCCCTTGTATCTAATGATTCTTTTCTACGTTCGATCATAAGCCATGGGAAACGGTGGGCGCTAAGCCAAAACCTTTCCCACAGCCAACCTGAGGGTCGGTCGGCGCCGTCTTGTCCAACTTCCGTCATGCTATTAACGTCGTTTTCTATCGTCATTTTCAGCCAGACTTCTACTGCCGTCCAAGGCCGCGGTGCATTGACTTTTGCCCAGGATTTCTCGAGCATGCCGAAGTCAAAGTTGCAATCCCCATTAGTGAATATTTTCAGAAGAAAACACCTGGCTTCCCTCGAAGAGAGCATTAATACTGTTTCAGGAGTACTAAGAAAGGATCGCTCATCATTATTAAAGACTTCGTTAGAGCATAAGCAAAGTCTATCGACCCATCTCCTGTTCATCGACGAGTTGCTCGACTCGAGGACAGCAGACCAGTCTTGGTCCTTTCACGCCACCTCAAGCATTTTAAGATCGCCTCTCCCGACGCTGAATCTGAAAGTGACTCTCGGGACCCAGCGAATGGGTTTGGAAATGCCTTTGCGACGATGTAACGAACCTCTATATATCACATTTTATTTTTTTTTTTACGAATTTGTTTTCTAGTTCCCGGCCGTTTCCCCATCCAAATGGGTGTTGAAAAGTTTATTTGTAACGGAGTTTCGTATAACGAATTGTTTGGTTTTGCGAGGAACAAAACTGTTTCGTATCACGAAGCTAAAATCTGAAGCACATGCCAGAGCTATTTTCTCTCGCGCATTCCTGGGTAACCTCATCTCACATCTAAATTTAGCCTGTTCCACCCACTTACTGATGCCGTGGGGGTAAAGGAACCCTGTCAGACAATCTTAATCTCAGAATCGTAAGGTTGAGGGTAAGGCCGAGTCTGGAATTTTGATCAGTCAAGCAATCGAAGCCTTCGACTATCTTGGGCTATTTTTGAGCCAAAGGTCGAAGGGGACTCGTCAAAATTTTATTACACCTACATAAGGACACACCGCTGTGCACACCCATTTAGGTTCACATTCACATCTTGTTTTTTTTTTTTTGCAATAAGTCGCGCGCTCCGACTTTCTCATTTTTTCGTGATTTGACGACTGTGTCCTTTTTTGAGAATGAATGAAATTATGCTTAAAGAGGCCTATTTTTATTCAGCGAAATGTGGGGAATTCCAGCATTTTCCTTATAACGAGATTTTTTAGCCTGTCCCAGGCCTGTTTTGCCTGCCTTCGTTATATCGAGCGTCGACTGTATCTCTGTGACCATGGGACCTTACCAACTTCGGCTGCAGTGCCCAACGGCCAATGTACAAGGGAAACCTAGCAGTTTCAGTGTCAATTGGTACAGAACGTACCAGAGCCAGTCGACTGAAACAGCAAAATTCGCACCAAAAATTGTATGAATGACGCATCTTCACGAAATCGTACATACGTCTTAGGTACAATGGAGTAGCGTTGAAATTCTTATCGGCAATGCTGCTTGAGGAAGATTGCGTGCCCTGTAACCTGAAAAAAGGTGGCTACTTCCTTTGAAGGAACATCAAAGAGCTGTAATTCAGCTTTTGCGTGCAGAAGGTGAAAAACCACTCGATATCCACTACAGAATGGTTGCCGTTCCTGGTGAGGCATCGAGAAGAATATACGAATGGTGCAAAATGTTTCGTGGCGGCGCCTCGATGTTGACGACGAACCCCCGACCCAGACAGGCCCATGTCTTCATCACAGACGCCAAACATCGCGAGGATGAGGTGATTAGAGGAAACAGACGCGTGTCTCTCGATGCCGTAGCCACAGAGGTGGGATTAGCCATGCGTCTTTGCACACGCTCGTCCACGATCGTCTCCAGAGTCAAGCACTTCGGTGTCCATTCGGTGTGCGCCAGATGGAGAGATACCGAAGTGCCTGACAAGACAGAAGAATCTCCGCACAGATCTTTTTCTCATACATTAGCAGTGGTACTACTTTGAAGGGGACGGCATTTTGCCCAGAAACGTGGCATGTGATTCAACGTGTTGACATCATTTTGAGTCTGAGTCAAGTCGTGTCAACATGCAGTGGGGGCATTCTCGATCTCCCCCATTCAAAAATTTCCAGGCAACCACTTCAGCAGGGAGAGTCTCCGTGACTGTCCTTTGACTCTCACGGACCACTCCTGCTGGATTTTCTGCTCCTAGGGAAACGGTCCATTCGGAGCGTCACTACAACATGTAGCGCAAGAGACTTGATCGTGCTGCGAAGAGCAAGCGCCCTGAACTGTTGAGGAAGGGCACGATCCTTCTTCTAGACGACCCCCGACCTCACACCGCTCGTGCAACAATGTCTACTATCGAAAACCTTGCTTGGGAGATCCTTCACCATCCTCCATGCAGTCTAAGCCTGTCACCGTGTGATTTTCACGTATGCAGCCCTATGAAGAGGGCGTCGAGGGGCTGGCGATACCACTCGGACGATCAAGTGCTAGAGGCAGTGAGAACATGGCATCGCCGGATGCCAACGTCGTTTTGCGACAGTCCCATGAAAAATTTGGTTGAGCGGTGGGACAAGAGTCTCAACGCCCGCGCAGAGTATTTTCAATAAAAGCTCCATGGATAGCTGACAGAGATCAAACGCCGTTTTCGTTTGACTGGCCCTAGCATATATGGCTTGAATACACTTCCGCAATGGACATAGCCATAGTGCTTCCCATGCAGAGTATTTCGAGCGCAAAAACCTCTATGTACTGAGGATCAGTGGGGGCTAGTGATATTTAGCGCTACTGATTTTTCTATGGAGAAGGGGTAGGCAGAGCCTATCCCCTCTCCATAGAGTAGTATAGACTGCCATAATTGCCACGAGCCGTGCCGGCTCGTGGCAATTAACGCTGGGGATTTATTTTTGAAGTCTAGCATGCGAAACTGGAAGAGATCACCCGAGAAATGGAAACATCGTGGGAGTTGAGGAACTCGCAAATGTGCCGTGCAATTATAAAGGGATTACCGGGGTACTGATGAGACGGTGACTGATAAAGCTTCATCTGCGCAAATGGTCAAAACGAGGGAAAACCGTTAATATCGCTCTTCCCTCTTCGACATCCTCATCTCCCTCATCTTGAGAAGCCAGCGTCTCCCCATTGCAGGGTTCCATTTCTTTAAGCAAGCGGAACTTCCTGGATTTGGTTATTTTGCGAGCCCAAGATCGGTCTGAAATTCAGATCATGGATCTTCTGAATTGCAATTATTTGCGTCCAGGCATTCAGAATGAAATGATGAACCCGATCAAGAGCGCAATTCAAA